TTTTGAATTTACGTAACCACACAACCATTCTTCTCCTCTCTAAAAAAATGTATTAAAATTGCGATAGAGTTAAACCTCCATTGAGTCAAATTAAAATTTTCATTTTTATTTTTCTACTAATTTTAAATAAAATATTTTTCAATGAAATAATATTTTTCATCATATCAATAAATTTTCTTTCTTTTTCAATCACACATTTTTCATTAATCTATTATTCCAAAATATAAAATAACGTGACTCAAACACACCCTATAGAATATTTTATTTTCCACACCCAGAAACCCAGAGCCGGGTATCAAAATTGTGTGATATCAATTTGAAGCTAGTTTTAATGCATAGAATAATAATTTAAAAAAATCACATAAAACTGCAAATTTAGCTGAACTTAAAAATTTATTTATAGGCAAATAAATAAGTTTTAAAATAAAAATTGAAAGCAATAACTCCTATCTAATTATAAAATTTCACGTATAAGGAAGAAAAAAGAAAGTAATTAATAATTTGATGTTTGAATATAATCCTATACCATTGAAGCACACCTCCATATATTTATGTAGAGAAGGCTCAAGCAGAAAGGATTCTTACATACTGTAATTTGCTGTCTGCACAGATAAAAATCTGAGGAATTACTGAAAATAAACATTCCCAAGAAGATCTATGTGCAATGTATGGATTCATAAAACACCTGAATCTAAATAAAAATCACCTAAGAAAAAGTATTTGAGCTAAAACTAAGGAACCCAGAAAAACAAAAAACCAAAACAAAAAAAAAACCGTACCTGTTGAGGAGGTGTGTTGGTAAGAAGAGGAGAGAGAAAAAATGTATTAAAATTGCGATGGAGTTAAACCTCCATTGAGTCAAATTAAAATTTTCATTTTCATTTTTCTACTCATTTTAAACAAAATATTCTTCAATGAAATAATATTTTTCATCATATCAATAAATTTTCTTTCTTTTTCAATCACACATTTTTCATTAATCTATTATTCCAAAATATAAAATAATGTGACTCAAACACACCCTATAGAATATTTTATTTTCCACACCCAGAAACCCAGAGCCGGGTATCAAAATTGTGTGATACCAATTTGAAGCTAGTTTTAATGCATAGAATAATAATTAAAAAAAATCACATAAAACTGCAAATTTAGCTGAACTTAAAAATTTATTTATAGGCAAATAAATAAGTTTTAAAATAAAAATTGAAAGCAATAACTCCTATCTAATTATAAAATTTCACTTATAAGGAAGAAAAAAGAAAGTAATTAATAATTTGATGTTTGAATATAATCCTATACCATTGAAGCACGCCTCCATATATTTATGTAGAGAAGGCTCAAGCAGAAAGGATTCTTACATACTGTAATTTGCTGTCTGCACAGATAAAAATCTGAGGAATTACTGCAAATAAACATTCCCAAGAAGATCTATGTGCAATGTATGGATTCATAAAAAACCGAATCTAAATAAAAATCACCTAAGAAAAAGTATTTGAGCTAGAACCCAAAAAAAAAAGGGGGTACCGTTGAGGATGGAAGAATGGAACATTTGCTGCATTATATAGACAGACAAGTTCAATTTAGGGTTTATAATAATTAAAATGACGTTTGTACCCTAATACCTTCCCCTTGAAAAGAGAAATCCCACTAGGGGTTCCAATCTTTTGTAAGTGCAACAATTATGTCCTCAATCTACCATTTGTTACAATCATGCTTCCTACCTTTTAAAATTATAACACTCAATTTTTGTGTTTAAGATGTGGCGATTGTTCTTTTTTCCATTATATTCCTACTTTCTTTTCTCGACTTTTTGCTATTTACCTCATATTTATTTTTGAGCGACGCTATCTTAGCACCGTTGAGGATCAATCTATGACAAATGTGCCTATTGCATTATATTCATACTTTCACTTTTACTGTTTGCCTTCCATTTTTTATCATAGTTTGATGCTAATCTAGCAACGATTAGCATCAAACTATGGCATAGTGTTTTTGGCATTATATTCATACTTTCTTCACTTCATGTTATTTCTCATTTTTGAGTGATGCTATCTAACACCACATAGCATCAATCTATAGCAAATATGCTTTTTACATTATACGCATACCTTCCCTCCTCAACTTTCTACCATTTTTTCAAATAATGTTATTCAAGACCATTTAGCATCAATCTAAGTTGCACTGAGGGTCCAAACTTAATAGCCCATAGAAATTTGAATGATTTTTACACACTGTGTGTTTCCACACCCCTGTTTGTTTTCCATTTTCTGTGCAAAAGTAGAAACAATGTGACCGTTGTCTTTTGAAAAGTGACTCGTTGCTATTGAAAATATGTGAGGAGCAAGTCAAATGTTACAGTTAAATGAAGTCTACTAACGATTGAATTTCTTTTACAAATAAGGAATTAATGAAAAACAACTTCCATTAATTTGTAGAAAAAATCTAACCGTTAGTGGATCACACTCAACTGCAACATTTGACTTGCTCCTTGCATATTTTCAATAAACCGTCACTTTTCAAAAACAATAGTTACATTTTTTTTTTTTTGACCTTTGCATAGAAAACGAGAAACAAACGGAGATTTACTTTGATAAATCTCCCAACTCTTAATTTTATAATTTTTCGTGACAACATACTTTAATAAATAGCATAAATAAGCCCATGTTTGGGATCCATTTTGATATATTTTTGGAGAAAATGTATTGGTTATAAAAGAATGAAAAAAAAAATTTTGAATTTACATAAGGTGTGTTGGGAAAAATGTATTAAAATTGCGATGGAGTTAAGCCCACGTTTGAACCACATTAAAATTTTGATTCGCATTCTTCTATCCATTTTCAATAATACATTTTTAAATAAAATAATATTTTTCATCACATCAATAACTTTTTTTTCTTTTACATCCACACACATTTTACATCAATCTACTATTCCACAATACAAAATAATGTCATTCAAACACACAGAATATTTTATTTTCCACACCCAGAAACCCCAAGCCGGGTATCAAAATTGTGAGATATCAATTCGAAGCTAGTTTTAATGCATAGAATTTAAAAAAAAAAATCACATACAACTGCAAATTTAGCTGAACTTAAAAATTTATTTATAGGCAAATAAATAAGTTTTAAAATAAAAATTGAAAGCAATAACTCCTATCTAATTATAAAATTTCACTTATAAGGAATAAAAAAGAAAGTAATTAATAATTTGCTGTTTGAATATAATCCTATACCATTGAAGCACACCTCCATATATTTATGTAGAGAAGGCTCAAGCAGAAAGGATTCTTACATACTGTAATTTGCTGTCTGCACAGATAAAAATCTGAGGAATTACTGCAAATAAACATTCCCAAGAAGATCTATGTGCAATGTATGGATTCATAAAACACCTGAATCTAAATAAAAATCACCTAAGAAAAAGTATTTGAGCTAAAACTAAGGAACCCAGAAAAACAAAAAACCCAAAAAACCCAAAAAAAAAAAACCGTACCTGTTGAGGATGGAAGGATGAAACATTTGCTGCATTATATAGACGGACAAGTTCAATTTAGGGTTTATAATAATTAAAATGACGTTTGTACCCTAATACCTTCCCCTTGAAAAGAGAAATCCCACTAGGGGTTCCAATCTTTTGTAAGTGCAACAATTATGACCTCAATTTACCATTTGTTACAATCATGCTTCCCTCCTTTTAAAATTATAACACTCATTTTCCTAGCTAACAGAGCAGATCCAGGACTAAATTTAAAAAAATAAAAATAAAAAAAATTTAAGCTAGGGTAATATTTTTAAAAGAAAAATTCACATATTTTTTTTTACATATAGAGGAAAAATTTTAGCGCAAGCCCCCTAAATTCGCCACTTCTAGCTAAAATATTTATTTGAATGTTAAATGGTCATATGACACTCAAGTGATGTCAAGAGCAGGTGGAAATAAGGGACTAAGTTTCATGAATGGTAAAGTGTGGATTCTATAAAATGTGTGGTTTAAATTAGATATTGTCTTTGATTTAAATTTAAATTTATTTTTTAAGTTGAACCAAACAGAGAACTGTAGTATTGAAAAATATTGAGAACATTTACTCTTGATGATCAACCAATCCATTTGCCTATTACAAACTTTATGAGATAGATGTCAAAATAAATTTGATGCATGATATTAATTGTCACATAAGTTCATGCTACACTCATCATATGAGCTGCACGACCCACCATATCGTAGGAGTTTATAATTTAGATTCAATCAATAATTCTTACAAGATCACCTCCAACCTCGTTAGACTCTTACAAATGGAGAAGTGATCATGGCCAAAAGTAAAAGAGAAAATTAGAACATTGAAATGCACGAAAAATGGAAAGAGCTTAAATCTTTTGTTTTTTGAATAAAATTCTCAAGTAAGTTGGCACATTAATCATATCGAACTCTTTTTATTATTATTTTTTTATCAATAATTCAGGTGTCTGAGCTTTCCTCAACGGATGCGGTAATAACTTATACACACTTTGATCAAACATTCGGGAAGTGATTTTCCTCCATGCGGATCCCCTCTACGTCGTGCGGATGGGACCCTTGGAGCGTGACAAAGCGCACCTGACTGCGTGGACGCCTTCCAATATAAATGTTACCTTTCAGCTATCGTGGGGATTCGAACATCCGATACTCTGTTTAGAACCATTCTACTTTACCTATGCGCCATGCTCGTGGGGCTCTTTTCATTGATTTTTAACTTGCATTTTTTTAGTGTAGAAGGTAGGTGATTTAACTACAAAAATATAAATGAGAATCTAAATTCAAAGTAATTATCTCTGGAACATATTTGCACGTAATAATGTTTCAAAATCAGTCGGGGAAAAAAAAATTCTCTCCAAAATTTTACTTAAATACATGATATCGTGAAATGGTTGAGTTGATTTGAAGAACACAGCAGCTGAGGGACTTACATTGCCAGGATTTGACAAGGTAATCAAATGATGTTTGGTTACATAAAAGAATCCTTAATGCCATCCGAAAAACATTTTAAGCATTGATTGCTTGGGTGGCGAGGTTGGGCTAAGAGCTGGTGCAGCTGCATATGGACTTTGGGCGACTGAACTAGGCACCGCCCCATACGAGGCTGAGCCGCCAGCGGAAGAGGGTGCGGGAGCCTCAACAATTACAAAATCATATCCAGAATCAGAGTTGGAGTCCTTAGAAGATTTTTCTTCCTTTCCGTCTGAATCTTTGTCTGAATTGTTCTTTTTGTCAGAGTCTTTGTCATTCTTACTATCTGAATCTTTATCATCATCCTCATGCTTCTTTTTGTCTTCATCTTTGTCTTCGTCTTTCTTTTTGTCTGAATCTTTGTCTCTGTCTTTTTTGTCTGAAGGAATGTAAGATTCTTTTTGGTCCGTTTTCCCCAAATCTTTGTTTTCTTCCGGTACAACGGGAGAGTATTTCACATTTGGATCTTCTTTTGGAACTGGGAATATGAAGCCTGAAGCATAGGGTACCCCTGTGGATGGTATCCATATATCACCACCAATGAACTCGGCTGCTGTAAAGCGTTCAACCCGGTTGGATGGAAGTTCCTTAACCCCGGGCCATTTAATCCTCTGTGCCTTGGGTGCGGCTGGGCCTCTGTTGTTGAATTCAGCATAAAACAATGTGTCAAGAGCGAAAGTCTCGTTCCATGGCAACCACCCTTGTGGTTGGATCAGATCATCAAGATACGACTCCATGATGATGGTTCGAGAGTATTCTTTCCAGGGTCGGCCAAGGTATGATTTGAGCGTCTTGCGGACTGGAAAGTATGAGGGATCAGCAGTGAAGGTACAGTTTTGGAGGACAAGTCCAGTCGGCTGGCGCACGTCCTTCCTGCCTTGTGCTGTCACAATGTTTTGCTGATTGTCCATAGGCTTTCGAACCACCAATGTGCAGTTCTGGAAGACAGCAGCACTATCGCCAAAAATGAAGTCAACTGTACCGGAGATCACACAATCCCTATAGAATTGGCGGTACGTGTGTGCATAAAGAGTATCTTGGTAGCCATCCATCTGACAATTGTAGAAGATTGCCTTGTCTGCGCTGATACGCAATGCCACAGCCTGATGCTTTTCGGCACCAGCAGAGTTTTCAAATCCAACATCTTTGGCCATGAAATTGTCGGCTTGTACGGCTGCAGAAAATGTATTCCCCTTTAGTATTGCAAATCTCGTACGCATGCGTACAGTACATATAGAAATGAGTGTTCAAGTGAAAAAAAAATGATTCTAGACGTGTAGGGGATGTTGGGTACGCAGTAGTATCTACTCCAACATAAAAAACATACCAGTAATGGATTAAATGACATACCGACTGTTGCTGTTTGGTATGTGTTAGTTCCATCTATGAAGTTCAAATGTCCAGTTATCTTCGTCTTTGTCGGTCCATCACCAATAACGAACAAATGAGTCATGCTGCTGTTGAACTGAACCTTCTCTTCATAAACACCTTCTTTGATATAGAGTACAAAAGTCTCGTTGCCATTTTTTGGGATGTCTTTCAAGGCTTCATTAATCGTCTGGTACTTCCCTGATCCGTCCTTCGCTACAACAAGATCAGGCTTGATTTCCTTAGACTTGGAACTAAGAAGCTCACGCCTTTCAATGTCAATCCAATCAGAAATTTCACCGCGATGTCCCATGATAGGAATGTCTTCAAAAAGGAGACGACGATTGTTAAATCCTTGAACACCTAAAGACTCGAGCACGGACGAGATTTCAGTCACCATTGCCAAGCCATTGCTTGTTAATTCCATGGCTTTTTTCAAAGACTCCCTCATTTTCTCCTCTGCATCTCCAGGGACATCTTCAAAACCATCAAGACATGTTTCTTGATATGTGATGGCTCCACTAAGCCAAATCTTCAAATCAGACAGCACGGCATTAAAACTAGCTACATCAAATTCCTTAAACATGTTATATGATCTCCTGAGATCGTTAACTGCACGATTTGCTAGCTCATGGCAGTCATCGAGAGCTGATTTTGCTCGGGGATCACTTTGAAGCTTTTGCAAGACAGTCGAGTTCTTAGCAGCATCTTCAATATACTTGATTGTCACTTCAAAAGCAATCTCGATGAGTTCTTTGGGATCGTCAGTGTCCTTATCTGAAGATTTGAGGGTATCGATGCAAGTTTCTTGATAGTCTGTCGATCTGCAAATAGTTTGGATGGCCTTCGAAGATGAAGATAAATCCTGGCGATCAGAAGTCTCGGTTTTATCTTCCCGGGTACCGATTGTAAGAGCAACCACCATGGCAACCAACAATATGGGAGATATACTTAGTGTGGCAATTTTTTTCTTACTTGCCATTTTTTAGTCACAAAACAAAACTCTCCAATTCAATCGCTTTCTGAACTGGAGAAGGGCCTATAGAATTACTTGACCCTCTCCTTGCAAGTTATGAAAAGCGAGAACATAAACTGTTGGCTTGGAGAATACTAAAACGACAATACTTAATAGATAAATTAAAACATAGGCCGAAATTTGTACATGCAGTTATTTCTGTTTAAGGAATTTGAGGTTTTGAGGGAAGCAAGAAAAGAAAAAACCAGACATTAGGCCAAGAAAATAGGAGAAATTAATGTTTCATAGTCAATGCAATCCACACCTCTGCCATGTATAGATTAAACAAATGAAGGAAATAAAATGGCTTATTATTTTATATCATATTAAAACCAAATTTTGTTGTTGTGGAACTTCAGAAAAAAATTTAAATTTTCGAATGTGTCGATGGTTCAATATAAAAAAAGGATGAACCGCATCCTTAGCGGCCCCCACCTGCCCTGTCCTGGGCCTTGGTGAAGAAGGTAAATCGCAGGTTATGCCTCCAATGATACATGGTGGAAGACTACTTGTACACTTGTACTTATCCAAGGGCCAAATCCATATTTCAGGATTCGAACTCTTGACGCGGCAGCCTCAAGTAAAGTTGGAGTTTTTCCACTTCTAAAATTTTGCATTTGTCACCCATTCGACAGCTTTACCTGCACCCAGTAGTTTTTCTTAAATTTAATGTCACGCTTCACATTCCTTGAAAGAGGAGGAAATGCATAAGTGTTTCATTGTATGCTCCTCTGTTGTTGTTCCTTACTGTTTTTCCTTTGTGCAGGCATAGGCTTTTTTTTTTTTTTTTTTTTNGCTGATAAGTTAATATTAAAGAATCTGATATTTTTCAGAATGAGACCCATGAATTTTGGATGAATAGTATTTTTTTTATTTATTAAGGCCATGTCTGGGAGGACTTAAAATCAGAATTTTGATCGTTTATATGGCAATTTTTTTACCGTTTCACTTTCACTATGAGTTGGGACCCACATAAGAGAGGCTTGGTCAACAAAGACGGTTGGAATTGGCCGGACAACGGTCACAAAAGCAATTACTAGCTCCTCCAGACAGCCCCTAAATTTGGATTACTGTATATTTTGAAGTGTTGGTTGACTGTAATATTTTAGTATTTACTTTTCGTGATTAATGGTAATTTTTAGTGTGTTTGATTTTAGTATTATGATATTAACGTCCAGAAAAATAATTATTTGGGATGTACGCTTTAATTTTTGTTTGTGAAAAAATTCAAATTATAAATCTATTCTTAGTAAAAATTTGTAATTTTCAATTTTAGTTGATTGTGTCGTATGAATGACAAATATTATTTTATTGAAAATTTCTTATTGAAATGGGAAAAGTATTATTTATATCTAAGTCAATTAGTACTTTAAAAAAAAAAAATCGACCCGACCCGATTCGGGTTGTGAAAAGAGCCCAAACCGAGTCTGTCGGGTCGGGTCGGTTTTGGGCCAAGCCCGACCTGACCCAATGCCCACCCTAGTGACTGTTACTAATATTCTTGACCTCATTCGAATAACAAAACACTCTCTTCCAGCACGATCCAAAACAGTTCGAGATAACCATCTACCTTGTTGAGGACAGTGGTGATTCATTCTCAGAATTACATCTGATCATTGCATCTGAATCGTCTGTTGCTTATCCGGAACGCATTTTAGCAAGATGCTTGCACGGGTGGAGTGATCAAAGCAACAGCCCTAATCTTTGATTGACCTCTTCATCTGAAGTAAGAAGCTAGCTTCCTTGCTGACGGAGCTCGAGCATCGTTCCTTTGGTCCCAAATTCACAGTACAGATGTGAGCTATGAGACATTTACCGGATTTAACGTACGACAATAACGAATCCATTCAATATCGAGAGGAGGAAGAATCATTGGAGGCTTTGACCCAGTTAAAGATCAGCAAATAATGGCATCCATAGCTGATCATACCTAAAAATTTAGCAATTAATATTTACTTAAATACAATAATAAACATAAATCCAGTGCAAAAGCCTTCTATTATTTTCAAATTTTTGCAGTGATTTTGACAACAATATTGAAAGTAAATCTAGTATTTGTGAACTGTAAAATCCCATCAGAAAAATAACAAGTTTGATGTTTGTACTACTTTTAACAAGATCGCATCTTTATAGGCAGAATCAAATAATACGAGAGTCCAAATACTCAAAACAACCAATTTAATTCGTTTAAAGCTCAAACAAACCGTATTTACTACAGAAACACAAACATGGCAGTATAACCGGTAAGGACTAAGAGCTTGTTTGGGAAGGATTAAAATCCAATTAAAATTGAAAATATAATCGTTATTGGGTCTCACTCGTCTAATAAAAGTCAACTCTAACTACTATATTTTTAATTTTAATCTGATTTTAATCCCTCCCAAACAAGCTCTAAATAAAAAGAGAGAAGATACCTTCTAACGGCTTCAAGAATGGTTGGTTCTTTTGGCGCAGCCAATGGGAATCATTTAACAATTTATAAAATTCCAAGGTTTTTTTTAGAAGCAGCCACAAAATCGACATTGAAGCCCACAGTTTCCTCTTCTGATATCTCACTAAGGCTCCTGATGGAAGAATTTCCATCATAAGTTGACATTTTTTTTATTGTTCATGGGTTTTTGACATAGACTTAAAGGCATAGATATATATTAATAAATCTGAAAGAATTCTTGAAGAAAATATTTACATATATACATAACCTGAAATCTTGATTCGTTTAACATTTTTCAAGTGTGAAGTGGTAGGTAGACTTAATCTCATACGATTTGTTTATTCGATATTGTTGAATATTTTTATTTAAAATTTTAACCATTAAGGAGTTATACAAATTAGTTTTAACTTTCATTCTAAAGCGGAGTCTTTGAGCTAATACTATGATTCTGTATCAATAAAATTCTTTAACTTTTTGTGAATGTAGCATCCTTCATCACATCTCTTATAGAGAATTGTTACTCTTAGAGCATCTCAAGGAGATCTCTATTTTTAAAGAGTACATTCTATTATTTGGAGAGCATTTATAAATTTAGAGAGTTGAAATTTTGAAGTACTTCAACAAGCTCTTTACATTTAACACTTAATTTTATTACTCCAAAAACATATTTATTATTTTTGCTTATATTTTATTTTAACAAGCTTTTCTTTAAATTATTTTATTGTTTTCCTATATTGAAAATTGAAACACTTTCAATGCATTTAATTATAGAGAGTGAGTTTTGACTCTCCAAATTTACAGAGAGTGGGTTTTCAATGTGTGGCA